CCCCAAAACCCCAAAACCCCAAAACCCCTCAAATTAAAAAAACTATATAAATTAGAATTGATATAATATATTTGATTTAATTAAGTTTTGTCATAAGAATAATGTGTTTTTATTCATTAGGTTTTTTCAAGAGCTTCTTTTTCTTTTTACTGTTTTTCTAGCTAGTCTCTTTTCAAAATAAATTACTATCTTCTCTTCATGTTTATTCTTGATATTAAAAAGTTTGTAGGTGGGAAATCACTGAGAGCACCCTATAAATAATGCCTCCAATGTCCAATAGTCTCACGCTCCCATCCTAGCTAATCAATTACAGCTTTTGCATGTTGCTAGGCAGTAATCGTACCGAGATATATGCCACTGTTCATTCCTGTTCTGACATTCATTGGTGTTACTGTCAGCACATCAATACCCTCGCTCTCATAGTCGACAGCTACTGTGTTTGAGAATACGCGATCAAAAGCTTTTGTGGCAGAATACAGAGACACTTGCTTTCCAAACCCTAAGGCAGAAATTGAAGAGATATTTATAATTGCAGATCTGCGAAAAGGTTTGTTGGGCTGAGCGAATTATTCTCTTTATCTTTGGTAGTTATCAACGAACTTAGCTGAAAAGTATCTTGTAATAAAGAGCATAGCATTTACGTTAACATTTACCATAAAGAAGCACATATCAATAGTATGTTTGTGGATAGGGTTAACATGAGCTTTCCCAGCTGAATTCACAACTATACTTATTTCGACATCTAAATTATCAAAAGAACTATAAAGCTTCTCCACTCCTTCTTGATTGAATAATTCTAAGAGATCAAAGCAGATAATCCTAGTCTCAATATGATATTAATTCTTCAGATCTTTCTCTACTTTCTCAAGTTTTTCTTGAGTTCTTGAAAGTAAGACGATGTTGAATCCTGATTTCGCTAATTCATGACATATTGCTTCACCTATACCATCTGATGCACCAGTTACTAAGGCCCAGTTAGAATGGTATCTTTCAAGTAAGTTCCTTCTAGGTCTAAGTGAATGCTTTATAAGACCAACTGCTGGAGGAAGAAGATATGTCCCAATGATTTTATAAAGTCCATAAGCTGCTAAGGGTAAAGTAATCTTTGGTGAAGTTTCCTTTACAAGGGTCTAAATTTGTTCACTAAACTGAGAAAATCTTTCCATTATTTAATATATTACTTATTCTCTATTAAATATCATATTTATGATTAACGGGGTTTTGGGGTTTTGGGGTTTTGGGG